TAAATTAATCAAAAATATCAATAATAAAAACCTTTAAATTTATTTTTCAACTTTATTATTTTTACATATCATAGATTGTATAATTAAATATTATCACATATTGGTTTTATTTAAAATTACCATTGAAACATGTTCTAGCTATGCTTTATTAATTATCTTTTAATTTGCTTTCCATTTCAAATAAAAACTAAATAATGAAATATATTTCACTTATAATTTTTCTGATATAAAACAATCACATCAAAAATACTTTCTAATCTATTTTATGACACTTCTATGACTAGACTATTATTCTTATAAATTATTTTATTTGTAAATAATATCATTAATTTACATCCAAGCTAAATGAAATAGTCAACTAGTTATTTGTTTAAATAAAATGGTATCATGGTTGTTTAACATTAAATTTCATTATCTTTTTAGTTTTCCTTTTAGTTATATGAAAATAAAAATGGATTTTTTTATTGTTTCTAAATATGTTTTATTATCTTGTTTTTCAAATACTTCATTTTTAATAATTAAATAATACTGATAATTTCGTAGTATCATCAATTGATTGTTGATATTTGAAAACATTTTTACTATTTCTTTAAATAATTAGGTGTTCCTGCTTATTTATCTCCTTTTGAATTTAAAATGATAATATAAGATAAAATAAGATGAATAAATAATTAAATACATATTTATAATACACATTAAATTGAAATAATAAACATTGATCGATACAGAATATAATAAAATAAAAGAACACTAAATTCAACAATTTTGATAGAAATAGTATTTGTTTATATTTTCATTGATATTCTTTATTTCTTAGAATTATTATTCATTTAAAAAACTATTATTGAACCACTCATAATGAAAACAGAAAAATGCAAATAGAAGTAGTTCAAGAAGAGAGTCAATAAAAAACTAAACTAAAATAAGAAATGACACAAAAGAAATAGAAATGAAATAGTTCAGTTCTTTGAAATAAAGTAATTGAAATAATACTAATAAGCAA